TCTTGGGGGAGAAATATATAAAATTAGTAAAAATTAAAAATGTATAATTATATTTATAATTACTTCAAATGCTGAAATGTTGAGCTAAAGCAAATGTTCCAGAGTTTTGGAATGTCTATAACGTCATTTTTTATCATTAACAATAATCATTTCTTAAAATAAACAATTAAAATTATATTTTGTAATTTAATCATGAAGATAAGATTAATATAAGTAATAAACAAACAATATTTATTCGCAAATTGCCCATACTAAAGGCACAAATATAGCCGGCATTGCAAAATATGTTTTTGGTTGTTTTTAATTGTAAATGGCTTTTAAATTTTTTATTTAACGTCCACTTAATATAATGTCCAATGCCGTATTTAGGAGGGTATTGTATGCGAGTTCACTGGGCAGCAGTTTTTAGTGAAGACACTGAAATATGATACTATATAAATTATAGAGTTGATGATTTTATTTATATTTTTGCATAAATAAATAGAGAAAATTTTTTTGATGAGTGAAAAAAGATCAATGGGGGTGGCAGAATTGAGTATGCCGAGTGGCACAATTCCTTAATGCAGCCTGATTGTGCCTTATAAACTATCATAATTAAAGCATATCAGTATATAAAGTTATAACTGACAATAATCGGTAGGTATCTATANACTATCATAATTAAAGCATATCAGTATATAAAGTTATAACTGACAATAATCGGTAGGTATCTATATATAGTGATGTCATAAAAAGTAGAAATATTATACATAGAATATGTTTTATAATCGCTAATTCAATGTTTATATATTTGTTTAGATGTCAATGTTATTAATCATAATCTAAGTAAGTACTTGACTAAAGAACTTTAAATTATATATAAAATAATTATTATTCTAATTCCTATAGAAAAATTAAGAATTTTATGAAATACAAATAAACATTATAACATACCATTTAAGATTGATTTATTTAAGGATGTGTTGCGATTGTAAACTGTATTTACTAATAATGAAAAAGTAGTAACCCGAGCCAATTATGCTTTAAATCAATTCAACAAATTTTTACTATAATCTCCTAGTACGACATTTGTTCGGTGACTGGTTTTTCACTGTGGAGTAAAATTCTACCTTATGCTTATCAACAATAGTAATAAAAATCTAAGCTATACCGTATCGGTACGCCGGCCTTGGAGAATTGTCCTCAAGAGTTATTGATAATTTAGTAGTTAATAGTATTAAAAAAAAAAAATACGTACTTATATATAAAAATAAATAATCAAACAACGCGTTAATAAAATGTTTTATCGTATAGAATACAAATAACTAATAATAATTATTAAACAAATCAAAAATACATATATTTTTTACAAAATCGACAAAATTAATTTTCTTCTATTGGCAATGTACACAACTAACCTCTCATCGAAAAAAACCATTCGTGGTTTAAACGTTAGCTATCCGAATGACGCTATCTTCTATTGTTACTAATTTTACGACACAACCAAGCCATGGCGCGCCATTTAAAAGACGGAAGATTCACATTTTTGAGAAGCACATTGGTGCCTAATTTTATCTTAGGTACTGTCTCAGAATCCCATTTTGTTCTTTTCTACAATTGAGCTAAATATTTCCGACACCAGTGCTTCCATATACTTTTGAAATATTGAGAAATACGCTTTCAACTTGTTAAACAGTTATTAGATATGTTCGTTTAAACCGGTTCAGATAGGGCAGTTAGAGAATGAATAATGAGGAAATGAACAGGAGTGATTTAAAACAAGTCGCTTGGATCAAAGGATATAAATATTAATGGGCGACTATTGAAGCATTCTTCTGCTTTACAGTAAATAGCTATTTACAAAATAAATGTGCAACACCCTATTCAATAGATATTTCATCGATTTTACTCCTGTCTCCCATAGGCTACCAAAGTGAGTCGAGCGCGCTAGAATAAAATTTCACTCCACGCTGTTTTCAGACAACATGTTATTAGTTTTCTTTTGATACTCTTCCGTTTGATATAATACTCTTTAAGTTGGCGATTTGACCCATATGTTTTACATATCAACCACTTACAATTTCAATTATAATAATTGTAGTTATATACCACAAGGTGTTAGAATGATTTATATTTAAAACAATAATTGAAATTAAATTATTAATTAATTTAAAATTAAATTCCATCAATGGTCCAGTAATCATATCTGATAGGTGTGAAATTTCGCCTAGTTGGTGGCGACCACTGTACCATAGTTAGTCGTTAGGCAAACGGCAAACCACGTTTTGTTGTAGGCCGACAAATGTCCACTTGCTATATTACTAAGATTATAACCGATTTAAAAAAAATACTTTTGAATTTATATCCACTGGATAATACTAAAAATATTTTATTGTTACTTATTTGTTATTTAGATATCAATATGACTTCAGATTATATTAATAAGAAGGGGAAATGGATATACGAAACATAAAATTTGAAGTTTAAATCTTTATATAACTACTATTTAAAGGCTAATATTTTCTACATAAAACTTAAAAATACACTTTTTAAAAATATGTCTCAGTTTTTACATACAAGAAAAATTTTGATGAATAGTGTTGTGAACGTAATATTTGGTGATAATAAGCGGGTTAGTTAACGTTCTTTCCTGTTGTCTCTAATCATGCAGGAGAAAGAAGTAGAGAGTGGACTGTATAAAATAAGTGAAATGTATTTAATGAATATATAACAATTGACCTGTTTCTTTACTTACTGAGTATTCTGATTAAATTTGAATTAAAGTCCTATTTAAACGTTATCAGGATTTTCGAAATTTTTTTATTGAATAGCAGTATACATTTTTCACGTCATTATACTATAGATTAGATACCATTAACTAAAAACGTGTCCTTCTTGAAAATATTTTTGTGCAACAATTCATATAACTTAACTTTTCGATTTGTACACAAAAATCATATTTCATTTCTTGACTTTAAAAACCGTACAAAGAAAGTGAGTTCTGAGGGCTATATTTATTCCAACGTTAAGTTCATTATATAAACTTTAAATAAAGCTCTATTTAAAGATGACATAATTTCTGAAACTTTTAAAAAATCTAAGAATGAAAAAATATTATAAGTATGCAGAAATATTCATATAAAAATACTTTTTGGGTAGGTTTATCATGGGATATTCTTTAAATTAAGCATGTAAAATTTTGTAAATGTAAAATTAATCATGAAATGTGATTTTTTTTAGTTGGTGAAATGCTCCAGAATTTTGATTGTAAATAATAATTTATTGAACTTATATGCATTGGATAATACTAAAAATATTTTATTGTAACTTATTTGTTATTTAGATATCGTTAGGAATTCAGATTATTATAGTAAGTAGTAAAAAAATAAATACATACATTTTTTTATTTAAAAATTAATATTACTTCAAGTTAATGGCTATTTTTTCCTTAATAAAACTTAAAAATAAACTGTAGCACAGAGGGTTCGTGGCACAGTGTAGGAGTGTCATAGTTGAGACAAGTTTAGATGATATCCGATAGTGATTAAAATCACTATCATAAGAATAGCTTTGTTGCATATCTGTAGATAGATTTCCATAGTAAATTACTCAATAGAGTAATATATGATAAACTACTTAATATCGTTCATCCAAAATTTTATGTCCCTTTAATGACTTCCAAAAATACAAAATTAATTTTCATAAGAACTTATTTGAGTTTTTTTATATAATAATACCATTGTATAATGAACACAATCAATTAATCTAAAATTGAAGATAAAATTTTTTGTAGCATATTAAATAAAAAATTTAATACCAAAGTTGCCTATTGAAGAATTTTACTTAAGTAAATTAATGGATAGTATATTATATTTTTAGGATTTTCAATAATACAGTAACCAGCTGGCACTCCTTGATTAAACTCGTGAACTGTATGAATCAGAATTCCGTTTAAATGCACCATAAGCAGCGTTACAATTTATTTTTATACTAATTAAATTGTTTATGTTAGCAACTTATTCCGATATATGTATTTTATTTGTGTTGGGTATCTCTCGATGGGAGCCTAAAATACCACTAATAATATTTTCAACGCTTAAATTTATCTGTCAACTACACTTAAATTCAGATTTTAAAGTGTTTTTAATAGCCTTCAACATAAATGAGACTTTATACGACTGAAGACGTTCTTCTAGATATTTACTAATGTCTTCAAGTTCATAAGTGCCTTCAGGCACTTTAATTTCCATGTTATTTTCAAGAAGCTCGTTATATGATTTTATCAGAGTGAATGTTTTGTTTAACTTGTCTATATTTAGTATTGAATTACATCCGTAAAATCCCAACAACGCAACCTCTGGTGCTCCAGTAAAGTCTATTGGTGGAAAAAACTTGATGTGACTTCCGATATTGTTCCATGCAGCGTAACAGTCAGCGATTTGAGTATTGCGATTTAAAAAATTTTAAACACAGCTGACCGCAAATGTTTGTGTTATATTTTTATTTCTAATTATTTTTGATAATAATTGTATTTCACGCGCAAACTGGTGAAATATTTTCAAGTTCTAGTGGAGGTGGTAAATTTCCAAAAAAGTCGAAATACGGCAAGTCCTTGCTTTTCTTGAAATACGCTACCCAATGCGTTTCTTTTCCGTGGTCAACATCCAAATTAACAACTGCAATCTCGTATATTTTGGGTTTAACAGGCAACTTATCTCTTAAAAAGACACCACGAAAATCACTGATTCCGAATGACTCAGCATATTTTATAAAATCTAAGTCGCTGAGTACACGTTGCTTGGGTAGTGTCGATGTTAGTTTTTTTTATGTTTCAAATAGAATCATCTACCCTTCTTCTTCCTAGCATATGGGTGCAAGTATAATGCATTAACAATTTTCAATGGTTTATTCGAATTAGCGTTTATTTCTGACTTCATGTGCAGCTTTTACAATACTCGATACTCCACCAGCCAACGATCCTAAAAATGAAAGTCCAGAAAAAATGGGAGTGAGTGGTAGCACACCACCAAATTAAGGTACTCTGATAGTGCGAGGTGTTTTAAATTTTTGTTTTTCCTTTACCGCAATACGAGCGTCTACTAATGTTAAGTTTGCCGCTCTGTTAATATCTTTTAAATGACGCATAGATTTACGTCCAACTCGTAGTACACTACCAAAGCCCATTTCAATTTTTCTTTTAGCTTTCATGGTATTTGTTATAGCATACTCAACAACTTTTTCTCCAAATGAACTATCGTTTGCTTTTACGCGGTCCTATGCGCGTATTTCCCACTTGTAATCAGCCAAATGACGTTCCGATAAATCATTTGTTCATGCGTACGCAATATCATGTTCACGACACGTTCCATCGTGTTTATTTATTCCAGGATCACCGCGTATTAGCCTTTTATTAATTTTTGTGCTTGGTCCGTAATACTGATACCCCTGAACATGCAAATCAATGGGCAATCGATTAATTATTGAAATAACAATACCACGTCCTACACTTCGCTTCGTCACACGTCTCGTTCGCATCATTTTAAATTTATAACTGTAAAGGTTTTTTAGTTTTTCATCATTTATATTTAATCGCTTGACGAATTATAACGTGCGCTAATAATGTTTTTTGAGAAACAGAAACATTCTCTATCAGTCGATAATGTCGCGGATCTACATACCCCATCGAGTCTAAACATGGACCACTGTTACCCAACATAATAAGATGCATAATATGTGGACCATCAAATTGTGGTATGTTTACACGAAAACCCTGGCATAAATATAAATTATTAGTTAAGATTATGGATAATGTGATAAAATTATCTATGTTCACCAGTAGAGAAAACGTACCTCTTCCCGAAAAATTAGAAGCAAACTCTGTATTTGTATTTGATGATGTAATTTGCGAACAACAAAATCATATGACACATTTATTTTGCCGATGGCAACAGAATATCGGTGATAGTTTTTACCTAACACAGACGTATTCTAGAATTCCTAAGCAACTGATAAGAGATAACACTAATATAATTATACTGTACAAACAAGATGAAACACGTTTATGAAGATCAATGTTCCAGTGATATGAGTTTTAATGAATACAAAGTTTTATTACTATATTCATAGATGATGACCTCAACAATTTTCGATATCGATGGCTTGATGGGCTTGATGTGTTTATAAAAATGACGCGAGTATAAATAGACGACTCATACTGATATAAGTTTAGTTAATATCAAGATGTTGAATGAAATCATACGCTTTAAACAAAACATAAAAAATAAAATACAGTTAGTTCATAGAAATGTTGAGAAATTTTGTACGTACACATTGTCACCGCTGGTGATACCTCTTCAAGAAATAGCTCATCAAAAATGTGTCGAAGCAGAAGAAAAGCAAAAGCATAGAAAGTCATTATTTATTTAGACTTGGAAAAAGCCCGTCCTAGAATAAAAAATGATCCAATTATATCCTTAAAAACAGAAGGAACTTACATGATACATAGCTCTAGCGAACCCTCTACATCCCAGGAAGAAGTTGAAATAAAGATGGAAATTTTATTTAAAAATGAGCCTTCTACATCTAAGAAAAAAATAATGATAGAAAATTTCGATAAGCCAAACGCTCGTTTTCTAGCGAAATGCAGCAAAAATATTTATTAAAGTGGTTGTTAGAATTTGACCCGGTTTACGGTTTAAAGTATGTGAATAATAATTATTTTATCTTGGGCAATACTACGATTAAAATAACCACTAATTTATGGAATTTATCAACTTAGATTTAAAAGTAAACCTGCAGTTGGTTCATTCAATAAAATTGATTTATAGGATTATAAAAAATTACTACTTTACACTGATGCCCATTTAGGTCGAGATGGGATATTGAAAAGTAATGTAGGCTATAAATATAAATATATCATTAGTTTCTTGTGTCCTCCGAAACAGCCAGTGGTGTGTTAATCTAAAACATTTTAAACAAAATACCTAAGGAATACGTATATTGAAACGATCCTAATGACCTTATAGTTCGATTAGAACTTTTTGACGCTACAATAAGGGTTGGAAATACAGGTGTGGGAAACGAAATACTGCCAATAGAAGAAGACTTACGAAAACTAGGTGTAATATCATGATTTAAGTAACAGAGAAAGTAGCAAGTACGGCAAAGAAGACTTATGGCAAGCAGATTTAGTAGATATGAAAAAATACTCTACAATAATTTTTAATTTTACATTTATTTTAGCGATTATTGAAGTTTATACAAAATATGCATGGGCAAGCCTTTAAAAAATAAATCAAGACAGAAGTTATGTTGGCTTTTGAGAAAATCTTGTACAATAGATCTCCAAAAAAATTACAAACAGATTGAGGTTTAAAATTTTCGAACAAACAATTTCAGTTCCTCATGAAGAACAAAAATATAAATCATTAGACAACCTACTCTACAATGAAAGCGTCTGTTGTGGAACGACTTGATAGAACACTAAAAGAAAAAATGTTGAAAAAATTTACTACTAATAGATCATACACTTGGATAAACATTATAGCGGATTTAATAACAAATTACACTAATACAAAGCATGGCGCTGTAGAAAAAAACTCCTGTTATAGCATAACGTAATCCTGGAAATGTAAACGGATACCTAATTTAAAATACAATAAAAAGTTTAATATTGGAGATAAAGTTCATCTGAGTGGGCATAAAGGATATACACAAAATTGGACATCGGAAGTTTTTACAATCGCAAAAATTCGTGATACAAATCCCGTCGTGTACGAGCTGACTGATGAAAACAACAGACCTATAAATGATTGTTTCTATGAGATAGACTCAATTTCCAGAAGTCTATTTAGTGCAAAAGATCATTAAGAAAAATAAAGACAGTTGTTTTGTCAAGTTTGTTGGTATGGATAATTCACATAATAAATGGATAGATTCGATCAATAATAAAGTATATAATTTATATAAAGTGCCCATCATTTTTTTTGATATTTATTTTAATAAAACATTTAGTTAAAATAGATAAACAATTATACAAACAACACGTGGTGTTTTTATATACAATTTTTTATATTATATTACATTTTAAAACTATTAACGATTACATATGTACTACAAACATTTATTTATAACTATTTAACAAAAAAAAAAATCTGAAAACTATTTATTCTAGAGCACATATTTTTACAAATTATGTTTTCAATATTTAATTTTAACAATATTTTTTTTCAACGAGTATAACTCAAAAATACTACTATATTTGTATTAACCTTCCTGTGATGGTGGTATAGCATAATGTTTAACTCGATGTATGGTTTTAGCCAAGCACCATCGGAAGCCAACCCAAACATTCGACTCATTCAACTGATTATAGAAAGCGTCGCGGGGTGATAGTACCGTTTCATCAAATTATCCCAACTATATAGGAACTCGTAGGGTTATACACCCTTACGCGTCACCAACGGCATGTCTTCCGGATGGAACACCTTGGCCGTCTCCCGGAATTTAACAAAATCGGGCGTCATTAGATTACCGGCCAAGGTGGAGAGGGAGGAGGCCATGAACCAGAAGGTGTCGACGAATCGTATGAAGAAGTCACGTATTTCATGACCAAAATATACTTCTCCTCGGAATTTCGGTATGACCGAAATGGTTTGGTCGTCGCACCCCAATTCAGTGGCGTTAAAATGCGCGTCGTATCCTGAAAGATTGTGCAAGAAGCACGGAACAAAGTTGACCGTCTACCCTTTCAGGTTACAAGCATTGCACAACTTCTGTCTGAATCGGCCCGATAGATGACACTGGTCTAAGACTTTGGGGTTGGAATCCTTGAATGCCGTTCGGCACAAGTCACATACCGCTTTCTCCCCGTGCCTGCGCACATCATTGACAGACATTAGGATGAGAACGTTGGTTTTGCGCAACAATTTAGAAATGTTGCGCGTCACTTTAGTTACAGCTATTACAAATACCTTGGCGACCTATTCGCGATCCTCAGACCCACGGTATATCACCGGTGATTGTAGTATAGCGTAGCGTTTGAGGAGCTCGGAGGGCACATCGTCCGATATTTTCACCATAAATCAGTAGCTCATGGGATGTTGGGTGTGCACAGTCCTAATATAGGCACCCATTGATCGTCTGTTTGCTCCAGCAAGGCCTCAAAGTCAGCGTAGATGACGAACGATAACTGTTGAGTATTTACCCAGACATCAAATTCGACCATACTGCCCTCTGCTAGCATAACTGGTAAAATTGGTTTATTTTTGCCGAAGAATATGCTTTTTAGGCATATCATGAAAGCTGGTGAAGCAACGTTTACAAGTGTATATTCGACCATGATGTTTGATTTTTTGGATGCGCACGAGCCTCCAAAAATTTGTAATGTACGCGTAATGTGATTTTTCAGAGTCTCCAATATACAACAGGTCAAAACGATTTTTTTGCTCTTGGTCGGCGTCTTTTAGTAGATATAACATTTTTACGTCGTCTCGTTCCAAGCCGTACACGTTGACAGACACGTTAGGATTTCCTCGTTAAAATATTTTCGATCAACGCGATATTTGTGGTCTCCCTTGACGTGAATCGCCAAAATGGACCACTTGAAATAAGACTGAGTGATATTCTGTGGATTGATGATTGCTTTTCTTTTATGAGCCAGCAAGGGGCGTATACTTGTGTACACTGAGCATAAGGCCGTCGATATGCGAAAAAGTAAAGCCGCTATCCCTCTCCAAGTACGTGGTTCAGCTTAAGGTACAGGATGCTGTACTCAACGAGGGTTGAGCAGCTGAAACGGTTCCACACCTCCATGGCATGTCTATATTCGTCGTCATCGATATTAGACTCACTCAACTGACTATTGAAAGGGTCCTGAGGTGGTAGCGCTATTTTGTCCAATTTAGCCCAATTATCAGTGTACTCGTAGGAGTATACACCCTTACGTGTCACCAACGGCATGTCTTCCGGATGGAACACCTTGGCCTTCTCTCGGAATTGAACGAAATTGGTCGTCATTAGATTAACGGCCAAGGTGGACAGGGAGAAGGCCATGAACCGAAAGGTGTTGACGAACCGTATGGAAAAGTTATGTCACGTATTTTGTGACCAAAATATAATTCCTCGGAATTCGATATGACCGAAATCCTTTGGTCGTCGTACCCCAATTCAGNTGACCGAAATCTTTTGGTTGTCGTACCCCAATTCAGTGACGAGAAAATGCGCGTCATAACCTGAAAGATTGTGCAAGAAGCACGGCACAAAGTTGACCGTCTTCAATTTCAGGTTTCTAGCATTGCACAACGTCTGTCTGAATCGGCCCGATAGATGACACTGGTCTAAGATTTTGGGGTTGGAATCCTTGAATGCCGTGCGGTATAAGTCACATACCGCTTTCTCCCCATTCCTGTCCACACCATCGACAGCACATTTGGATAGGAACGTTGGTTCTACGCAACAATTTAGAAATGTTGCGCGTCACTTCAGTTACAGCCATCACAAATGCCTTGGTGACCTCTTCCTCTTGTCCTTGCCGTATATCGACTTGTGTTGATTCAACGCATGTTGATCTCAAAGAATATGCTTCTTAGGCACATCATGACAGCTGGTGAATCAACGTTTACAAGTGTACATACGGTCATGATGTTGGGTTTTTTGGCTGCGCGCGAGCCTCCAAAAATGTATACGTGATTTTTCAGAGCCACCAATATACAACAGGTCAATATGATTTTGTTGCTCTTTGTTGGCGATTTTTAGCGGATATAACAACCACTTCATCTTAACGTAGTCTCGTTCCAAGCCGTACACGTTGACAGGCACTTTAGGGTTTCGTCGCTCAAATATTTTAAATTGGGACACAGGTGTGGGAAACATCAATCCCGTGATATCATACCTGTGTTTCTTGTTAAAATATTTTCGATCAACGCGATATTTGTGGTCTCCCTTAACGTGAATCGCCAAAATGGATCACTTGACTCAAGACTGATAGATATTCTGTAAGTTGATGATTGCTTTTCTATGATTAATTTCTTGCGGAATCGGAATATATGATGAGATTGCGAGGGGCGTATACTTGTATACGCTGAGCATAAGGCCGTCGATATTCTATAAAGTAATGCCGCTACCCCTCACTTGGTATGTGTCTTCCTTGGCGAGCATAATCTCAAAATCATCATCGGATAGAAATGCCCTATACCATGTCTTGAAGGCACGGACTTCGGGCAGTTCTTTCGATCGCGGTATATGGTATGAGGCCTTCAATTTGAGATTATACTTGATCGGATGGTTACCTACGATTTCAGAGAGTCTGACGACCAGGTCGAGTATCACGGCGCGCAAAAAATCTCGATAGCTTGCGAAATTTTCTACGCCCTTCCACTAAAATCAAACTCAACGTGTTCTATACGTACGTTCAAGGATTAAGGCGTACCTACCCTAGAAAATCATTTTATTTTTCCGCATAATAATCCATTTATTACATACAATTTATAGGCATACGGCAAGTTGTGTTAGTTTACGTCGGGTGTTATCCTCACACTACCCATTAAGTTAATTTATGTTTTCATTACCCCCTCACTGTTTAGGACTTGTTGAAGGAAGACTAACCCTCGCTCCATAGTTAGTTTACGCTAGGTTTCGTCGTTCCCCCTTCCATTGCATTAGGATAGTTTACGTAGGATTTAATACCTCCGAACACACTTCTTCGATACAACACGAATGATTAGCAAGTGTATGAGATGGAGGACAGCTCTCTCTAATTTACCCTACTAATGTTATTTCTCATTATTCATTGTGGAATTTTTTTCCACCTCAAAAAAGAATTAAGAAATAAATGCAAAAAAAGTTATTTCGTCCAACGGTATTCGAACTTCGTACCCCGAGCTTATACGACTGTAAAATATACAATGCAGGCTCTGTGCAAAACACATAGATAAAAATAACTGTTAAATCTAGTTCAAAAAATTATTCATTATGATAGTTTTAAGAAAAAAAGTAAGAAAAAGTAAAAAAAATACTGATTTACAAAATTGAGAGTTGAGAAAAAGTGGACACAAAGATAATACATCAAAGTAATATAATATCTTTTCAACTTCACAAGGGAGCTAAAAATATTTCCAAATTATCAAATAAATGTAATAGAACTTTTTAAGGCATACAATATAAAAAATGAATTTTGATAAATAGTGATAAAAATAATTATTAGTGTTTCTGTGCCCCTCGCCATTTGACTTTAAAATAGACACGCAATTATAAAATAATCTTCCTTGAAAAAAATTTTTGCATCAATTCAAATAACCTAAATTTACGATTTGTATACAAAAATTGTATTTTATTCCTTAACTTAGATGACCGTAAAAAGAAAGGAAAAAAATTAGTTCAATGTGCAGTTTATTATATAAACTTTAATAAAGGCTCTATTTAAACATTTCTGAAACATGTTCAAAACTTGCAAAAGAAAAAATGTTATTAATATGCATAAATATTCCTGCAAAAATTACGTTTAAACATAGAAAATATTATACATATAATGTAAATTTTTATTTTATTAAGTAACTTGCACTTAGGTGATACAAGTAAATATTAATTTGGTTAACTTATTTATAAGTTAATCCATGTATACATTTATTCAGTGGATATTACTAAAATCTTTTATTTTAACTTTTTTGAGATTTGGATCACAATAGGACTTTTCAAGAAACAAGTAAGTACTTAAGAGGCAATATTGGACTCTTTATCTAAGAAAATTTTTTAGGCCTACATAATAATTGTAATGTATCTTTATTGCCAGCTATACGGTCGCCTAGACTTTGTATTAAGTAGTATTATACCTTTTCCTCGTCATTTAACTATACATTAGACACTAATTTGTAAAAAATGTCCTCCTTGAAAATATTTTTATTTAAACAATTCATATAACTTATATAATAAAATTATATTATAATATTAATTACTAGTCTACACCTAGCATGCGCTCCGCCCATGACCCGGGCGGTATGCCCTTTGGGCGTATTCAAAAATTATTGTAGGAGGGTATTTAATATTTTTTTACTTTGTTAAACATGCTCTAAAATTTTTTTTGTAAAAAATCAAAGTGATAACCAAAAAAAAGGACATTAGGTCCTTATTTCAAGAAGTTGCCTAAAAAAATATTGCTTGCGCTGGTTCAAGGGGGGCCCATATCTCCCTTAAATATACCCTTGGTATACACAAAAATTATTAATATTCTAATTATGATAATTGTGTTAATATTATAGAATAATTACAAAAAATTGAGCAGGTTATTAAACGTGGGACTATTTCAAAAATTTAATTTTGATAAAAATATTGATAACACTGATTTAATGTTGGACAGCATAGATGTCACAGATGAATCCCAATTTAAACGATAAACTCATAGACTCATAAATCGTATATGAGAAAAAAAAGATTATTAATAATGTACTGTTCTGATTATGAAAGTTCAAACTTATTTAATAATAACCGCCTTGAAATTTATATATAACATATAACATTCCTATATAAAATATATATATAAAAAATATAGTCCTATGTGTAAATACAAAATAGTGTCCTAATAAAAATACATGTTACACCATAAAATTAAGGTTATGAATAAACGCATGCACAAAAATGAGTCAATGCGCATATTAAAACAATGCGGACTTAAAAAAAAAAAAAAAAGCTCGTAAAACAGTTAAATATGAAAGGACTGAATTGACTTTTTTATCATATCTCAGAAATGTCATTAGGCGGGCCTGGTGAAAATTTCAAATCTTAAATCGTAAAACGCTGGCGTCAGCGAGCGTTTTAATCGAAAACGGTAGAAATTTTAAAAGGCGAGCAGACAAGCAGCAAACATTTTTCGACCTTCGCCAATAATTTTACCGGAGTCTGGTGACCGAATACTTTCGTTGAAAAAACAAATTTTCAAAATCCAAGCACACTAAGTTATTTTCCCAGAAAAGCGTTTTTTATCTTGTTCTATAATATAATAAGGTATTAAATATTATATCTGCGATTTTTTCAGGCATTTCTTGTGGCTATTGAGTTTAATATTTTTTAGTTTTTAAATAATTAATATTTTTAATATAGTTATAATTTTAATTAATTATAACTTAACTTTCCGATTTGTACACAAAAATCGTACTAATTTCTTGACTTTAATGACAATGCAAAGAAAATAAGTTATGAGGAAAATATTCATTTGAATGTTACGTTTATTATATAAACTTTAAGTAAAGCTCCATTTAATGTTATCAGAATTTCCGGAACTTTTTCAAAATCAAAGAATGATAAATGCCATTGAAATGCAGAAATTTTCATACAAAAATTACTGTATGGGCAGGTTTATCGTGAGATATTCAATAAAATTACGTTTAAGCATATTCAATTTTGTAAATATAGAGTTAATCATAAAATGTAATTTTTTTTAGTTAATGAATTGGTCGAAGAATTGAATTGTAAATAATAATTTAATTGATTTATATGCATTGGAGAATACTATAAATATATTATTTTTACTTAATTCTTATTTAGTGATCAATACGACTTCAGATAATAGTGGTAAGAGGGTAAAATAGAATTAACATACATAAAATTTGTTATTTAGATCTCAATATTATTTTATATTAGAGGTTAATTTTTCTTATGTANATTAACATACATAAAATTTGTTATTTAGATCTCAATATGATTTTATATTAGAGGCTAATTTTTCTTATGTAAAATTTAAAAATATAGCGTTTGAGAATATCAAATGTTATGAATATAGAAATATAAATATAGAAATAGAATTATAGAATATTCAATTACAACTAATATAAGTTAACATATCGCTTGTTCAGTACAGTTTTGTCGTTGTACATAACTGAAAAATCGTAATTTTTGAGTTATTTGCAAATAATAATAACACTGGTATTTTTTCTATACTGATTGAACGACAAAGTGAATATAAAAATTTATTTGTAGTATAATAACTAAGTGTAATATTTTAGGTTTAACTTGTTATCATTGCCATTTCAAAGACAGTACAAGATTTTACATTGCTCTATATAAAATATTATATTTATGTTATAATAGTTATTGTTTCAAGTTATTAATAAAATATTATATTACTTAGGAACATCCATTATGCCATTTGAAGTAACTAACGATTGTGAGTAAAATAGCACATATTTATATTCTATAACATGTTTATATTAGTTAAATATTTTTAGTCAGGTTTATCATGAGATATTCATTAAAATTACGTTTATACATTTAAAAGTTTGAACATATAAGTTCGGACATATAAAATTATATTTATAATGTATTTTTTTTAGTAAATATCTTGGCCGAAAATATGAGAAGTAAATAATAATTTCATTTATATCCACTGGATATTACTAAAAATTATTATATTAACTCTTTTGTTATTTAGTTATCAATAGGACTTCACCTTATAATGGTAAGAAGAGGAAATGGAATAAGTATACATAGAATATTTTATTTAGATCTTAATGTGGCTTTAAGTTATAGGCTAATTTTTTTTAGAAATTTTTTTGTTTAAAAAATGTTTGACGGCTAATTTATTCATAGTAGAACAATAATTCTTTATTGTATTTTCATACTATGAATACTAAAGGAAAGTTTATTGTTAAAAAACAATTAACATAAAATGTATTTGTTTTTAGCTAATGACTTCAGTGAAGTTATAAGAAGTAAATTATAATTTAATTGATTTATATGCACTTGATTATATTAAAAGTATATTATTTTAACTTATTTGTTATTTAGTTATCCATGCGTTTCCATATAATAGTGGTAAGAGCGGAAAATGGAATTAACATTTATAGAATTTATTATTTAGATCTCAATATGACTTCATATTAGAGGCTAATTTTTCTTATGTAAAATTTAAAAATATAACGTTTGAGAACAACATATGTAATTACAGAATAGGTTTAAACATAGCTTATTCAGTGTTTATATACTTGTTTAGATGACAATTCTCGAGTTTTGAGTAAGTATTTAACTAGAGAACTTTCAAGCGTATATAATATATTTTTTTAATTCCTTAATTTTCAATTTTCAAAAATGTTCCGTGATATTGGACAAATTGTATCGTATGGCACATTAAAGTTTTTTGATTGTTGATAAATTTGTCTTATTTATATTTTTAATAATTTAACATATTTTATTCAACGATTCGTCTATTGCGAATTTCATCATAGCCAACCAACAAACTGAATTTTTACTAAAATGTAAAATTTCTCGGCCAATATCTTATAGTGGAACAATATTCGATTATCATACTAAGCATACCAAAGAAAGTTTATTGCCATTACATTATTCGGTTAAAATTTTACTAGGAACAGTAAATTAAAAATAAAGTTATAGCAGTTATAAGATTAAAAAAAAAATTGAAAATGCCTTTTTTACAGTCTCATAGTTTTGAGATATTTTATATAATGTTTAAAATTGAATGGAGTTTTTCAAATGTTTAGTGATGATAACTTAAACTAGATTAAAAATGTTATTTTGAAGCATAATTATCAAAATCAGTCTATAATTTACATGGACAAATTTTTAAAAAAATCACACGTTTGTAAAACCAGTAATTACTTATTTTCCGTTTGTCTACGATAATACTACCCATTTGGGACAGGTTTAGCTTAAAAATGTCAGTATTTCCAACAATATGTCAGAATCTAAGAATTAAAAAACGTTATTAATAAGAAATAATATAAAATTAAACGTATAATGTATATTTTTTAGTTAATACCTTGGCCGAAGCTATGAGAAGTAAATAATAATTTGATTTATAACTTCTGGATATTACTAAAAGTATATTATTTTAACTTATTTGTTATTTAGATATCAATAGGGCTTCATAAAATACTGGTAAGAGTGGAAAATGGAATTATCATACATAGAAATTGTTATTAAGATTATAATATAACTTCAATTAGAGGCTAAAATTTGGAAATAACATATTTATGTTTTAATTAGAATTGTTTTAGGATATTAATTATTATAGCATTTCTAATTAACCTATTTTATGTATACAGAATAGGTTAAAACATATCTCATTAAGCGTTTATTTTCGTTTAGAAGACATTACTCTTGTTACGAGTAATTATTTAAATAAAGAACTTTAAGTTGTATATATTGCTTTTTTTAAATTTCTATAGAAATAGTGAGAAATTAAATATATAAAAACAAACATTATTACATGACATTTATTATTTATTCATTTATGATGATGATATTACTTAAGTTTTAATAATTTATACTGATACTTTTGATGTCATTCCCTGAATTTTTCAAAAAAATTGTATTATTTAGATAACAAAATACAATTTACATATATAGAATATGTTTGAACATCGCTTATTCGTTTTTTTTATTGTTTAGATGACAATACCGGCTCCTCAAGAAACAAGTAAGTACATAAGATGCAATATTGGACTCTTTATCTAAGATTTATTGAATAGTGATATTAAATTTATTTTGAAAACTATTGAAAATATTGTTGATTGTCCTGAACTACTAGCTCAAATACCACTTAATGTCCTTGTTAAAAATTTTATATCACTTCCTGTTATTTTACATTTCTATTGGTTAATAAAATTATAATATGCACGCTCCTCTTAACAGAATAATTTCTTATTTTAACAAGTTGGACAACGTTGATTTTTATTTGATTCACTACAGCAGTGTTTTTCAACCTGAGGGGTCGCGAAGCTTCTGTTGTTCGCCAGAAGTTAAGAGAACTTCAGAAAAAAAACAATTATAATTAAAAACCCAGCACAGGGGGGTCGCGGCACAGTGGTGACATGGCATAGTTGGATCAAGTATAATGATATCTGACAGTGATTAAAATCACTATAAAAAAAAAACGCTTCTATGCAAATCTTTAGATAGTGTTTAANAAAAAAAAACGCTTCGATGCAAATCTTTAGATAGTGTTTAATTTTAAAAAATTGGTGGATTATTCCAAAAGCTTCATAAACTGCTAGTTCCTTATTAATATCGTGATTAAGATAAAGTATGTCGAATGAAAATAGAATATTAGAATATAGTATTTCCAATAAAAAAATTATGTTGATCAATACACTTTTCAATAAGTTATAGCGTTATAAAGTTAAAGATGTAAAATACAAAATCGAAAATTTTCACACAAAAATAGCATTCGGTAGCCATTTTCACCTTGAAGACAAAATAAAGTNTTTCACACAATAATAGCATTTGGTAGCCATTTTCACCGTGAAGACAAAATAAAGTCCGAAATTTTTTTTTTACATAATAAAGTAGATTACATTAGCTTTAATTTAAGATATATATAAAAGTGTCAGACTTTCCGGAACACTTTCAAAATTTAAGTTGAAAAAGTCAATTTTTTGTGAAAAAGTTGTCATTTTGAATCCCCCCTGTAGGCATGTAAAAAGTCAGATTTATAAAAAAAATATACCAAATGATAGGTAATGACATCATACATCTATAAAAGAAAGAATTATATTGAAATGTTCATTTTTAAAAAAGAAACGGCAGTTTTTAGTAAAAAAAATTGAAAAAATTTCGAAAATTAGCGATTTGTAAATTTGTAATTTTTTTGGAGGTTTCCCCCATTTACGGGGAACAAGGTAAATTTTTACAATTTTTAAGGGTAATGTCTTTACTGTATTTGCAACACATAGAATTAAATCGTTCTCTAAATTCAAGCGATTTCTTTGCTTACTTTTTATTTGGGCCATTGAAGAAAATGTCAACTCGCATAAGTATGAGGTGGCAAACGGAATCAAACACCTCAAAGCCTCAGTTGCTAATTCCGGGCATTCTCTTTTTCTCCTTAACCAAAAGGTATCCATATTAACAGATTTGAATTCCAAGTGTAACATCCCATCGGTAGATAATTCTAGCAGATTTTCTTTGAGCTTTGTTGGCAAATTAGCCTCATTTATAACTGCATTTAAGAAAGGATTTAAGATCCACCTCTGTCCATTATTGTTCGATATTTCTTGCACTGAGAAGTAATGACACAATTCTTCTTTCAAATTATCTAACACCATTTTCATACCAGGTATATATTCCTTGATATTTATCTCACATCCGACTTCTTTGACAAAAGATTGTGTTCACGAAAATGAATCGAAGTTATTTTGATTTATAGACGACGACCACAAGTCAACTATTTTTGTAAAGCCATGTGTTTTGTCTTTTGCAGTGATGACATTTTCATCTCGCCCTTGAAGACTTTTATTCAAGATATTTAAATGCTCAAATAAGTCAGAAAGAAAAGCTAATTTCAAAAGGAATGCCGGGTCGCAAATGAATTCAGAGTATTCTGACTTAGCCTGCTGTAAATATATTAAAAGTTCAGCACGAAGTTCCATAACTCTGGTCAGTACTTTGCCTTTCGACAACCACCTAACCTCTGTATGGTACAGTAAATTTTGGTGGAGTGCCCCCATATCTTCGCAAATAATTCGAAACAATCGTGTCTGCAGCGCTTTGTCTTTAATAGAATTGATAATCTTTATACTAATATTTAAAACTTGGCTATATTCCTGTGGGAAGGTTTTGGCCGCATGAGCTTGGTGATGGAGACAGCAATGCACCCAACGAGCGTTAGGCATATGTTCTTTCAGCCTAGTAATAAATCCACTCTTTGCACCAGTCATCGCTTTTGCTCCGTCGCTGCAAATACCAATGCATTTATTTGCCTAATCGATATTCATATCTTGCGTAGTTTCAAGGAACATGTTATACAAACACTGACCTGTAGTATTTGTGGGAAGCGCTCTGCAGAATAATATTTCTTCCATTAATTTTTCACTGGATTCAAAACGCACAAAAGCTACAAACTGCGCACAACCCGCAATATCCGTGAATTCGTCAAATTGCAAAGATAAAAAAGTACTTTCCTTTATTTTTTCTATGACTTGATCACGAACGTCAGTGGCCATATAAATTATCCTGCGTTGAATGGTATTGTCAGAGAGAGGTATACTTTTGATTTTTTCGACTTCTTGTTTCCCAAACATAATCTCTGCTATATCTAAAGCCGCTGGTAAAATAAAATTTTCGGCAATAGTGTGAGGTTTTCCAGCTTTAGCCACGCGAAAAGCTATTCGATAACTAGCAAGCAACGCTTTTTCATTTAGGTTGGACATTTGTAAATCAGTTTTTTGATGTTGAAGAGCTTGTAGTTTTCTCTCAAAAAATTCCAAGGGCTCATTTTTTTCATTTGGATATTTTGTGTTGAGGTGGCGTGTTAACTTTGATGGATTAATGCTTTCTCTTGATAAAGTTTTGAAGCAAATTACGCACTGTGGTCTATTATTAATCACAGTAAACCCGAATTTCAAATAATTTTCGCCATAAAGACGTTTTTTCTTCGTTGTACTGCCACTACTTTCACCAGAAGTTGACGGTTCTGTCAATCTTTTCAGGAATTTATCCATTTTAAATTATTACAAATCACTTCAAATGCGTAATTATTACTGAAAGATGAAAACAATGTCTAACAGTCGTCAAACAATTGAACCGTCGACGTGAACTGAGTGAGTATTGCTTTGTCCCACGCAACGCTCGTTGTGTCTCGCTCACTCTCAACATTTTGCAAGCTAGCCACCACACTTGCCGAACGGCTCCGGCCGGCATCGTCTTTGGTCGTACGTACGTACGTATACCGATGTGCGTAAATTACTTCCTTAAGTTATCAATTGATGATGTTTTCGATGTATGTAATTGTAAAATAATTTGTTTTACGAACTATATTACTTATACTGCATGAAAATGTCGTATAGAATGAATATTTGTAACACATACATCATAATAAACGAACATGATAAAAAAGCGATGGGTCGGGGGGGTCGCGAAATATTTTTTCATACCAGGGGGGTCGCATAATGAAAAAGGTTGAAAAACACTGCACTATAGTGAAACAAATAAGGTCTTAGACTGTTAAAGTTTTATATATATTTTAGATCTTAAGTTATTAATAACATTTTTTTTTCATATAATATAATATTTTATTCAAGATAATACATAATGGTTACATTTGTTTTTTATAGTTACATTATATTTTTTATTTATATTATCTTTATTTATTACGTGTACTACCTGCCCACTAAGAAGTAATTTATTTTTTTTCTTTTTTTTAAAAGAAATAGTATTATTGGTATTATTATTTACTAAAAAACTATATATTTTACATTTAATTTTTTTTTTTTTGAATTTGTATGAAAAATATTTTTGTAAAGAAGTCCATTGGAAATATATTTGTACTTCCATGCAATTAAATACAATTTTTAACTATTAATTGGATTAAATTTACAATTTTACAATGAAGCAATAAAATTTTTGTTTTGTGTATAGTTATTAAATTTATTGTTTATTTACTATAATTATAACTTTATGTTTTGTATTAAACAACAATATAAAATTATTTTATGTTGTCTGATCAGGTGAAGATTAGAAAATACAATCCAAATGGAAAATTCTAATAAAATGTAATAATTATTCTAAAAAATCATTATTTTGTAATACTTATTTGAAAATAAAATTATTTTCAACCTCTTTAAAATTTTTCTAAAATAATTATTTATTAAAAATATTGTAAAATTATTTATTTAATGAAAATGTAAGACTAAAAATGTTTAACAAGTACTTCATTAAAATATTACAATAAAAATCTGTTGAAAATATTAATTTCGTAATAATGTGTAAATAAATAAAAAAAAGAACGTTTAAATAATGTAATAACAGAAATATTATTTGAATAATATAATATAATGTAATAATTGTAAAATGATATATTACAATAATAAAAATACATACATGTATCATGATATACACAGTTTATCCCTAACGTTATAATGTACTACTAGTCTTCGCCCCAGACCATAGGCCCTACGAGCTTCTACGCGCCTTCGGCGCGTAACCCTCTTCGGGCTGTCATCATAAGTAGGCCACTTATTCCGGTANACGCGCCTTCGGCGCGTAAGCCTCTTCGGGCTGTCATCATAAGTAGGCCACTTATTCCGGTAGGAGTACCCGACTATGATGGGCACAATAAGTGTTTTACAGAAAAAATATTACATCAGAATCAGTGTAACAAAAATATATTAAAATTTTTATTATTTAAATCAGGAAAATTCAAAAAGAGAAAATAGTTAAATGTATTGATTTGACGTTAGACAGGTTAGTTGTCATAGATGGATCCCAATTTTTACAATAAACTCATAGTCTTATACATCAAATATGAGATAAATAAGAAAAAAAAATTAAAAGTTCAAAAGGAAAAATGTACATTTGAACAAAAAGCCGATTAGCCCAAAGATCAAACAAAAGATATATAATAATATGTTAATATAATATGTATATTAGGGTGGTCTTTAATGTATAGATGCAGAATTTTTTTTTTCTTCAAAATTTGATTGAGGTACCCCCGGAATTTGTTCAAAACTATAAAAAAATAATTTGTGTCAAATTTCATTAATTTTCAACCCTAAGCTGTGCCTTAAGAGGGTTGAAAATTCAATCATGAGGGTAGTTTTTCAATAATTGTAGTTTATCTCAAAATTTATGACTTTTACATAAAAGTTTATAAGAAAAAAATTGTAGATATGAATATTTTGCATAAAAAAGTTATTACTAAAAAAGTCATAAGTCAAATATTTACCTCGAAAAAGTTAAAAGTTCAACAATATGAAAAAAATGGGCGTATTTATTTTTGAGTAGTTTTTTACGATTATATCCTAAAGTATTAACGATAGGAAAATATATCTTATAATAAAATATTTTTTGAATTAAATTTTCAATAATATTTGTCTTTAGTACTTTTTCCATAAAACTGCTCATTCGATCACAAAATAACAAAAATTCAATTCTAGAGTTTTTTATTATAGTATCATACGTTCATATTGCACAAAATAATAGATTATTAGCTTCGATGCGAAGCTGAGAAGGTATTGGTTTTACTAAGATGTGTTTAGTTTTTTTTTTTTTTTT